GCCCCTTTATCTTACTTTCACTTGCGCGAAACCTGGGGCCTTTTTGGTGCGGAACCCATAAGCCGTGAATGGAGTTTTCCATAGTGAAATATATACAGGAATATAATCCATAAAGCAATATGTATGTGCAAATCGAAATAATTGATCAGAAAGTGCGTTTATGTATACCACGGCCACTTCAAAGTTCAAGGAATCCACAGAGCTGTGACATTTCAGGATATGATTGTGTCTTGTATCAGTCTGCGTTTGGAAGCACAGTAATATCAAAAGGAAAAGGCGTTTCATCTTTTAAAAAGTGGAAGATAATTGAAATAAGCCTATTTGAGATTTGTAATTTTTAATGATAGTATTGTAATTACCGACTTGTTATAATGGCAATAACATTACATGATGATCTGGAAATGCTACTTTTTTTGTAGATGGACAAGACAATGTTTTTATTTTGTATTTGTCAGTTGTTAATGGTAACATTATAAATGTGTTACATTTTCTTAAGTATATGACAAAGTTCTTGCATTTCAGTAGTTTAAAGTTGTAATTTTGTATTCATGACTTGTTATTTGGTATACTACACTTGTTATTGGTTAATGAAATGTAGAAATAATGTCATTTGTGGCTAAAACATTGGTTAATATGAGTTGCTTTTTATAATTTTTTATTTTCCATTCTATACTTGTTATTGGCTAATAAAATGTGAAAATAATGTCATTTATAGGTAAAACATAAGTTAATATGAATTGCTTTTCATAATTTGACATTTCTCATTCAAATGTGAAAACTTTAATAATCTCAATTCAAAGTGAAAACTTTAATAATCTTAATTCAAATGTCATTTTAGTAATATGTAATTATCACCAACAATTAATAAATTTGACTATCCGTCAACAAAGTAAAATATGCTATTAAACCTATCTTAAATGCAGTAATAGTATGTACATTTTGTCCTATTTTTCCTATTTCATTGTTTATAGAGACTTCCTCTTCTTTTCTTTTTTGTTGTCTTTCACCCTTTGTCAGGCTATGAAATAAGATTCAGTGCATTCTCACGGCATTCATTCTCTTCATGATTGACCATTCTATATCGGTTTAGATTTGGATGCTTCCTCTGATGTCATCTCTCTTATCCTGCAAAACATTCAACATACAATTATTGATTGCTACATCTAGTAACTAACTAATAACAACTCTGTTAACACTTGCTATTTTAAAAAAAAACCTTCTTACTTCACCAATATTAACTTGTTATTTCTAAACATAAACTTGTTATTTTTAATTATGAACTTATTATTTCCTATCCAAACATTGTCCATACTCAACTTATTATTTTTAACAATTTACCACACTTATTATTTCTAATTATAAATTTTTTATTTCTTATACAAAACTTGTCAAATCGTCATACTTAACTTGTTAATTCTAACTATTTAACAAACTTGTTATTTTCTATACAAAATTTATCAATTTGTCATACTCAACTTGTTATTTCTAACAACTTACCAAACTTGTTATTTCTAATTATAAATTTATTAATTCCTATATAAAACTTGTCAATTTATTATACTCAATTTGTTATTCCCAACTATTTAATAGACTTGTTATTTCTAATTATAAACTTGTTATTTCCTATACAAAAATTTCTAACAATTTACCAAACTTATTATTTCTAATTATAATTTTTTTTTCCTATAAAAAACTTGTTAATTCATTTATCCAAAAAAAAAACTTGTCAATTCGTCTTAATCAGCTTGCTATTCTCAATTATTTAATACAAACAACAATAACAACAAGCCTTATCCCACTAGGTGGGGTTGGCTACATAAATCACATGATGTCATTGTGTTCTGTCAACAACCTAGTCCTTAAATATGTTGTTGATTAGAAGGTCTCGTTCAATGACCTCATTAAGCGTTCTTCTTAGTTTTCCTCTGTTCCTTTTTATGGGACTCCATTTTGTCTGATCCACCCTCCTCACCGGAGCCTCCAATGGCCTTCTTTACACATGTCCAAACCATCTTAAGCAATTTTCAACCATTTTCTCTTGGATAGGTGCCACACCGACTCTTGCTCTGATATTTTCATTTCGAATCCTATCTTTTCTTGTATGACCACACATCCATCTCAACATCTTCATTTCTGCTACCCCTGTTCTCAATTATTTAATAAACATGTTATTTGTAATTATAAACTTGTTATTTCTTATACATAACTTGTTAATTTATCATACAGCTTGTTATTCTCAACAATTTATCAAACTCGTTATTTCCAATTATAAACTTGTTATTTCTGATTAAAAAAACACTTGTCAATTTATCTCAGTCAACCTGTTATTCCCAACCACTTAATAAACTTATTATTTCTAATTATATACTTATTATTTCCTATTTTATTCCTAACTACTTAACAAAGTTAATATTTCCATTACTAAACATGTTAAATTCTCATAATGATCTTGTCATTTGCAAGTAAATAATGAGAGAGACGCTTACATAAATCCAGTGAGAGAGACTGACCATTTTGAAGTACCTTTTGTCATAAAAGTTGAAGAAACCCAACAAATCAAAATGTGAAGATACAAGTAATTCGGAGAAATATCTAGGCGGTGACGATTGGATTGCAAGCAGCTTCTGCCTCCTTGAGTTCTCTTCATAGTCTTCTTTCCCAGCGTTCTGGTTGTCGTCCAACCATTCTAGAGCCTCCAACCTGTCGATCTCCTCTTGGCTCAGTCACTCCATTCTATATTCAAGACCTGATCCCTTCTAGCAATTTTGCTTATTCAAGTACTCATTTCGCTATTTCATATTTTCATATATCTTTTAGTGTGATTTTCCCATTTTTTATGCTACCTAAACAAATTTTAAATTTTAAATTTTAAATCTAATCCAAATTCTTATATTCCGGCAAAATTTTAAAGTATTTCATTAGGCTCACATTCGAAGAGAGGCGAAAATTCTAGGAAATTCAAGTTAATTAAGGTCATTATTTTGCAAATTTGTGCTTTGTTATGACAACAGAAGACTGGCTCCTATATATGATGCTAGAGCATTTGTACTAGAGCTACACACTGAAAGTCTAGTTTGATTTTTGGTCAGGTTAGGTTTTACAGTTTGTGGTCTAGTCCAGTTTAGTAGTAATCCAATGTCAGGTTGGACTAGACTTGGTCTACCAGACCAGTGAACCGACTGAGACAGTCTAGAATCCCAAGTTTTTTAAATGGCTTTTTTTTTTTATGGGAAGCAAGATCTCAAACATAATAAATACAATTAATACAATAAAAATTAACCATAATTATATAAAACTCATCCTAAAATATTACTCCCTCCGTTCCTTATTATAAGAGACATTTGATACTTATAGTATGTTCCTAAATATAAGAGACACTTAAAAGTTGTCTCTACTTTTTTGTGTTGATTTCCTATTTTACCCATATTTATTGTCTCCAACTCACACTCTCTCTCCTTCCCACTTCTCTTTCTTTTAAGAATTTACTATTGTTCTCTCTCATGCTCTCTTTCCTTATTAATGAGGGCATTTTTGGAAAAAAATTATACTTTTTGCACATTAATTGTTCTTAACTAATTTTAACTGTTTTTTTTATCAGCATAATTCGGTTATTCGTCTCTTATAATAAGGAACGGAGGGAGTAAAATTTAAACATAAATGCATAATATTATCTAACAACATTAAAATCAATTAAACATAACATCTAAATTACAAATTATTAAAAAGATAAAAAGATTCACTTGGACGAAATCGGACTAGTCTTGGTGGTTTGATCACTTGGTCTGTAACCCAGTCCAATCTAACCAACAATTTAGTTTGATTTCATTATATAACTTATTTGGACTGGATCGGACCATGTTGGATTGGACTGGACTGAATCGGGCCACTAGATTTTTACATACCCCTTACTTTGCATTACTTATGGACAAAAAAAACCTTTATAATGCTTTCACTTCTTAATATAAAAAGTAGTTAGAGATTCAATTCGATTTTAAATATAAAACTCTAATCCATTTTGCTTCCAATATTTATATATTTTGCCCTTAAATAATTTATATGGTGATCACACATGTTAATAAGTTACTATCAATGGGTAATTTAAATACACATGATTAATAATGATATTTCAGAGAGATAACGTCTATTTATTACAAATAACTAACTCAACTAATTTTCTTAATATCTACAAATTAATTATATAATTTTTATATTAAGGATCAAAGATGGTGTTAGGATAACTTGAGGATAAGCGGTTGAAGTAGCGAAGTACGCCTAGCTCTTTTTTTGTTATCCCTAAGCACATCTATCTTCCCATTAAAAATAATAACCCAGAAAATATTTAAACTTTAATTTTGTGAAGATTAACCCATTTTGCTAAATTCAGCTGCCAGTAATATTTTTCTCACCCACCTCTCTTTGTTTCCATTAGTGCCCTACTTATAATGGACCAACTTCTCTTTATTCCCATTGGGTATTTTTTCCCAAAAAAAAAAAAAAAACAGCAACCTGGGATGGAGTGATGTTGGTGTTTTAAATTATTACTGATTCTTAATATAAAAACTAATTTAACTTCTATTTTAATATTAAATATAAATCCCTAATTCATTATAAATATTTAACTATTTTTTTCAAAATAATATTTACAACAATAATAATTATAACTAATACATTTAATTAGCAAAAATATTTTTAAAAAAACATATTTATTATAAATAACTTGACTATTTTTTTTAATATATTTAAATTAATCAATTAGCTTTTATATCAAAGAGCAAAAGTAATAATACAACTGTGATTGGACGGCTAAAAATGAGGCGAACGTGGGAGTGACTGCATCGGATTGCGTCCCATTGATGCGCTTCATCTCATTAGGTTTCCAAAAAGGGGGCAAGTATTGGCTACGTAAGGTGTGATCACCTTGTATTGTCTGTCACGAACAAATCAAGCCAGCGAGTGGAAGTGGAATAGTAATGCGAGCATAAAAAATAAATCAACGTGAATGGTTAACAAAACGTTTAAAATGCAACAAAATACGCCCAATATCCTGAGAAAAATAGAAACATTAAATTCCCATTAAAATCAACTACAAATGGTTAACAAACCCCTCATTTGCTGAGGCAATTACGTAGTTTCTTCAGATTAATTTCAAACAAGACTCGACGTCTTTATTTTAGTTTACGATTCAGCAATGAGGTTTTTACCCATGGATTCATCCAATTCATTTCTCAACAAAGGAAGACTCAGCAAGATCAATCGCGCGGGCAAGAGCTGCAGCTTTGTTCTCACACTCTCTTTGCTCATCGGCTGGATCACTGTCAGCCACAATTCCTGCTCCGGCCTGCAGATGAGCAATCCACTCCTTACGTTTGTTCAAATCCTTGTACGAGAACATCGTATCAAAACGAGTATTGGTAGGGAAAACGATGGTCCTCAGAGCAAGGGCAATGTCCATAGAGCCAGAGAAAGATATGCCTCCAAATCCACCACTATATGGTCCTCGTCTTGCCACTTCCAACTGATCAATCAATTCCATGGCTTTCACCTGTTTTGCAGCACAGAACATGTGGATTTCTTAGAATCAGAAACGTCAAAAAATAATCCAAACGAGAGTGACTTTTTTTTTTTGGTCAAAAAAAGGGGGGAAAAAAAGAAAATACAAAGGGAACATGTCCAAGTTCCAGACAGGTCTGAGTTACAAAAGAAAATACATGACTTGAATAGGAAATATGAAAATTTATTAGGTAAAAACATATTCTAAGTTCCAGATATCTCGCTTCACCAATCGAATATCAGGAGCATTAGCATACTGTAACATTAACCCATCATATTCTGCTTCACAGTCCTGTTATAAAAGCGGCACGTTCTTTGGAACCCAGCAGTAGAGGATTGCAGAATATTTTGTTATAGCAACAGGCAAAAACTACTTTTTCTCAAGCAAGAGCCAATATTTCATTTCAAATTAGTTGGTTGAATTTCTACTCATACGGATTAGCTTAGAAAAAGGAACCGGTAGAAGAATCCAGACTGGACCAGATGGTCAAACCAGTACACAGATGATCTGGCCGCCAATCTAGTGAACTAAAAGGGTTGAGCCGTCCCCAGGCAAAAGATCTTTACTTTCCACCTCAACATACCAGAAATGAGACGTTCTGAAAGTTTATATGGGACCCAGCTGGTGCCAAGGCCCATGTGGTTCATGAAAACGTTTAAACTCTGCCAATTCCTTGCTTATATAAGATAAAACATTTCATGCCTCTAACTAATGTGAAGCTTAAAGGAAAGGAAGGAACTAAAGACCGGCCAATAGATGCCAGTAACTGATGTGAGTCCTTTTAGAGGTCCCTAAAACAAATATTTTAGGAAGAATTACAATCAGGTCCCAAAAAAAAGGATTTAATTACCCTAAAATCTATTGACAATTGAAGAGCATGCTATGACAAGTTTCAAGGTAAAGAATAGCAACAGGTTCATGCTGGTCACTTGTCATTGGATTTCTTGGCAATTAAATTCTTTCCTTAGGACCTCATGGTAATTCTCCCCATTTTAAACTATAATCATAAATTGATTTCATAGATTTTACAAAATTTGTTAACCAAATGTTCATGTCAAAATTTATTCACAAGCCTTAAAAGTTAAATTGGTAAAATTAATTAATTTGGAAATATACACAGCTCAATTTTAGTTAAAATTTATCAAAATTATAAAACTTAGATTTTTTTTTTCAACATATATAATGATCCATCTGGTTATCTGCCCAAGAGAGGGAGGGAGGGAGCCTACCTTTTGATTTCTTGGTTTCCTTATATTTTAGCAAATGTCAGAATTTAGGGGCATTAAGACTAAGCAGTCTTACAATGCACTAAAAATTACCTTCGGTGCTCCACTAACTGTTCCAACAGGCAATGCAGCACGCAGTGCATCCCAGCTTGTTAAATGATCAAGTAACTCCCCGGTGACCTGCAAAGACAGACATGTACAGTTTTCATAGTCATAGATACAATCTTCGATGTACAGTTTTCATAGTCATAGATCCAATCTTCTTCACTAACTCCATTCATTTGTTGCTTTTAAAAAGACAACTGAAATTGCTTTGAAACTGTAGCTAAAATATAGAATCAGCATCTCCTCAACTAATACCTCCAATATTCAATATAAGAGCTAGTTTGATATTCAATTTGGTCCTAAATATAAGATCTTAATTCACTTTGTTTTCTCATATTTATCCATTTTTTTTCAAAGTAATCTTTGTAATAATTGCACATGCTAAACGTTTCATCAAATAGTAGTTTTAGCTAATACACATGATTAGCAATGGTATTTTAAGGAAGATAAGACCTATTTATTATAAATAATTAACTTAACAAAATTTCTTGATCTAATCAAATTAGTTAACTAGCTTTTATATTAAGAATCAGAGATAGTATATAATTAGCAAACTGGACATGAATAGTTGAGATGCAAAGACCCTAAGTCTCACGTCAAAGGACTTGGATCAAACAAACTTTCACAGAAATATAAAACTGTTGGTTATAAGCTTATAATGATGTACCATCATATGAATCCTATTAAGAGTAAATAGGCACCTAATTCTCACATCTAATTATCTCATCGATAGACTACCCTCAATCTCACACTTGACTTCAAAACCCATTTTCAACAATTTCTTTTACCATTCCTTTTACACATTCTTTCCGCCTTATCCCACAAGATTTTTGGCTGTACTCTTTTTGTCCATATCTGTCAACAAGGTTTTGTTTTCCAATTTAGTAATAGAACTATTATACTAAGAATCTTGAATGACAAAGAGCACAGTGACGTTGGAAGTTCCCCTTGTAAGCATACAATGCATACATATCATGTAGTTTGAGACACATTTGAGTATCCAAATTCCCATCAATTACATTACAGAACTTACAGTTGAACTGATGTGCATAACATGGGAATAGCGTTCAATATTCATGAGCTTTTCAACCCTAACAGAACCAGGTTTGGAGACCTGCATATCCACATCATACCAAATACATGGTTACAACAATAAGAAATAATGTTATGGGTTTATGGGCAATTTGCAAATACCAGTATCATCAAAGAGTACTTAACCTTGAAGCAAGTACCACAGAGCACATAAAAAATATACGTCCAATAGGAACATATTGCTCCTTGCTTTTCTATTTTTTTTGTACATAAATTTTCACATTTCCTCCCATTTTTTGCCATTTTGTGATTCCCATATGTCTCTTTGCATGTTTTGGCGGGAGTAACGTGTTGGGGCCCATCAATATGCTTATAGCAGGCACTAATGGGATATTATTTTGATCCCCATAGAATATGGAACAAAAATAAAATAAGTCCTGGAAATGGAAACTTCAAACCTTCCCAACATCATTCCTTCCCAAATCAACAAGCATTATGTGTTCTGCACATTGCTTTTCATCATTCAAAAGATCTTTCTCTAACATGATATCTTCTTTAGGTGTTTTGCCTCTTCTAACAGTCCCAGCAAGGGGGCGATTGGTAATTTTCCCCTGTCAACAAAGATATGAAAGAGGCATTAATGCTTGTTAAAACTATATGAAAATTCAAAGACGTTAATAGAAAACCTCAAGAAGGAAGAGGTTAAAAAAATGATAAGTAAACAAAAGAAAATTGTGAACACAAACACGGCCTACTACTATCATATACTAACATTAAATTAAATGAAAAAAAAAAGATGTAGGCAATTATGTTTAAGTAATTTTTGCACAGTAATGTTACCTTCTTCACCCGTGTAAGAATTTCTGGACTTGAAGCAACAAGGATACATCCTCTGGCCTGATACCAGTATACTTGAGTAAATTAGACAACTTGAAAGCAAACTTGAAAGCACAACAACAGCAATAAATAGAACAAACTAAAAAAAGGAGTAAAGAGAAATGGCAAACCTGTAGATAAGTCATGTACGGACTAGGATTAACAATCCTCAGTGCTCTGTAGACTTCAAATGGGTCTGCAAAAGTCCGCCGTTCAAACCGCTGACTTAGTACAATCTGAAAAATATCACCAGCTAGAATGTGTTCTTTTGCTTGCAGCACTGCCTTCTTGTATTCATCACTTGTCATGTTTGATGCCTCCAGCTTAGAACCAAAAAGATGAGTGTATAACTTTATTGAACCTGCCGGCAGCCGTGGGCTGAAAATTGACAAGTATCTTGCAGTTTGTAGACAATCAAACTTAAAATCAAAATAAAAAATAATCCATAATTAGAAATATAATGTACAGGGGGAAAGCATTACTCACGTAATTATATCATGCACCCTGGACACCAGTGTTTCCAATCGGTTCATTCCATCATTGAGAGCTTCCTCAGCAGAAGAATAGCGATCTAATTGCACCCAATGAATCACATAAGCTTTCTGGGTTCAACAAGCTCAAATTAAAGAGTTATTCGTTAGAACAGTAACTCCAGGAAACACTTATATATAATCAGAATTATTGCCTCTTAGTCTCTTTGTTGCATTAATTTATTTCTCAAAAAAAAAGGTGGTGAAAGCCAAAGAAACAGCAAGGTTCTTATAATTGACTAACAAATCCGGTCGCCAGCCTTTTTTTTTTTAATGACATGAAATTTCATTTGAAAGGAATAAATGAATGTAAGCTTGAGCAAGTCTTCTCAGTTTATCAAGTCATATTGCCAGCCTCGTCTGAATATTTCATTTATAGGCACAAAAAAAGAAAAGAAAAGGGAAGCATGTCACTCAATTAGTCAACTGTCTTTCTGTACACATCACCAAAGTAAATACAGGCATAAATTGAAGCCATAATCCCATAAGAAATTCAGTCGGAGAGCACATTGTTCTTGAGTGATATGAAAGCACCTTCTCAACATGATCAAACACAATCACGTTATCATAAAGACCAAGATGAACATCAGGAAGGTTTCTATCATCTGCTGGGGCAGTAAAGAATGAAGTTTCTTCTTTTCTACAAAGCGCACTGTATCATATGAAAAGTAACCAACCCAACCACCTGGTAAAAGGTAAAAAGTAAATAATCAAATATATATCAGCGAACTCACTATAAAACTGCTTAGGTACATGCGTGGGTTTTGCTGATCAGTTACTTGATATTCATTTTTCTTCTAAGAAGTTAAAGTGACCCCTAAACATGCATCAAGGCTTACAAAGCAGACACTTGATCTTTACTTGATATTCATTTTTCTTCTAAGAAGTTAAAGTGACCCCTAAACATGCATCAAGGCTTACAAAGCAGACACTTGATCTTTACTTTAGCATAAAGCTGTAAGTTGGAGGAAAATCTAACAAGGAATTTTTTTTGGCCCCATCTGCGTCTTGCAAGATGCAAACAATATGATATTTAAAAATTTGGAAAATAAATAACAGAAGCATGATTTATGAATTTGGCTGCCTTAACACTACCAAACTTTGAAGACTAATACATATTACAAAATATAAACAGAGGCATCGCAGCAACCAAATTGAAAGTATGCCCTATTGAATTGTGTGTATGGATAAAGTTCTTTAGGGATTTATAGTCAATGTTCATTACCACAAAATGCATCGGGAAGCCCCTCAGTGAGCTGAGGCTTCCACTGATCCAAGATTCTTCTGGGAATCACCATCGGATCCTCCACAATTTCTTCAGTTCTGCATCCTTCCTCATGGTCCATTATTGTAACCATGTTCTCTTGTGCCACAATTTCCATTGTTGGCTGAGCTCCCACCACACTGTACCGCCCCTAATATGATTTATCCAGATTAAGGGAAAACCCAAGACATCTTTCAAACAATAAATTTAATAAAATGGAATGGAATGCTTACAATGCTGGAAACCTGAAGTCCAGGTTCAACAGACTCAAACAGAAAACTAGGAGCATCTCGCTCATCCTCCTTAACCAAACACCGGTAAGCAAGAACAGGGGTGAGGTGATCAGAAAAAATACATCGATATAGAGGAATAAGATTTCCCGTTTTTGAAGCTTCAATAAACTTGTCTGCATTATCAACTAGATTAAATGGATCGTAAGAATCTCAGCTCAAAAATGTTGGCCAGGTCCCATTAAAAAAAAAAAAAAAAAACCAGTACAAGGAAATGAACTACAGATACAGGATATATATGATGTATTAATTAATTGTAACAAATAGGAATAGTTACTTATAGTTGTTAGTACTGTGGGTATCTGATAGAAGAACCGCTTGAACGATCAGATGAGCCGAAGTTAATGCTCAAAAAATGCAATAACCCACGATTTATCGTACATTTCTCGTTACCTCGAAATCACAGAAACCAAGCAAGAGGAATTGACCAAAAAAAACGTTGATCAAGTTTCCATTCTCATTTTTTCATGTCCAAGAAGGAAAATAGAAATGTAATCAAAATAAAACCACCACAAGGGGAAATGTGAGAATCACCTAAAGCAGAAGCACGAGCTGAGCATCTTAAAGGACGGAGACGCATAGAAACGCCATTGGGGCTCCGGCTTGATCTCAAGCTCCTCCGGTTGAACGTAATGGAGACCGCAGGTTGAAATTGTCCACTCGCGGCTGCACTGGCTAGGGCTTCCATAAGCAGAGCATGGGACTGCGAGAAATTGTTGGCTATGGAGGAGCGAGAGCGATTCGAAGCTTTCAACAGTCAGTAGATATCTTTTACAATATTTCCTTTTAACTATTTTCTGAGTTATAACTCTTTTGGGAAAAAGACAGAAAAATACACCTTTAACTTCAAAAGCTCAAAAACGTCCGCCTAATTTCACAAATCCTATTTTGGTACCATGAGACCAAATTGAGATTATTATGTGAAAGGAAAAGACCACATTGCCCTTCATTTTAAATATTATTTTTAAAATATCACAGCCCCTACTAGCCGGCCGGTCACCGGAGCTTCGGCGGCGGCGGTCACCGGAGCTCCGGCGACCAGTCGACAATTGGTCACCGGAGCTCCGTCGGTCGGATTTTTTTTTTGAAAATTTTTACAACTTCAATATAACGGTTAACAACTTTTGTAATGTTATTAACAACTTTAGTATAACAATTAACAACAGCTTTTCTGGGAAATTCAACAAATTCCGGCGACCGGAAACAATTATTTTGAAAATTTTTACAACTTCAATATAACCGTTAACAACTTTTGTAATGCCATTCACAACTTCAATGTAGCAATTAACAACAGGTTTTCTGGGAAATTCAATAAACTCCGGTGACCGGAAACAATTTTTTTGAAAATTTTTACAACTTCAGTATAACGGTTAACAACTTTTGTAATCCTATTAACAACTTCAGTATAGCGGTTAACAACAAGTTTTCTGGGAAATTCAATAAACTCCGGCGACAGGAAACAATTTTTTTGAAAATTTTTACAACTTCAATATAACGGTTAACAACTTTTGTACTGCTATTAACAACTTTAATATAGCAATTAACAACAACAAACTCAGGCGACCGGAAACAATTTTTTTGAAAATTTTTACAACTTTAATATAATGGTTAACAACTTTTGTAAGCCTATTAACAACTTCAATATACCGGTTAACAACAGGTTTTTGAGTTTGTTAAAGGCATTACTGAAGTTATAAAAATGTCACTTTTTGAATTTAAAAACTTGTTGTTAACTGCTATATCAAAGTTGTTAACCGTTATATTGGAGTTGTAAAAATTTTCAAAAAAACGTAATTGTTAACGTTATACTGAAGTTGAAAATTTTTACAACTTCAATATAACGGTTAACAACTTTTATAATGCTATTAACAACTTCAATATAGTAATTAACAACAAGTTTTCTGGGAAATTCAACAAACTTCGGTGACCGGAAATAATTTTTTTGAAAATTTTTACAACTTCAATATAGCGATTAAAAACTTTTGTAAGCCTATTAACAACTTCAGTATAGCGGTTAACAACAGATTTTTTTGAAAAATTATATAACTCAAAAACCTGTTGTTAACCGCTATACTGAAGTTGTTAATAGGGTTACAAAAGTTGTTAACCGTTATACTGAAGTTGTAAAAATTTTTAAAAAAATTATTTTCGGTCGTCGGAGTTTGTTGAATTTCCCAGAAAAGCAGTTTTTAATTGCTATACTGAAGTTGTTAATAGCAGTACAAAAGTTGTTAACCGTTATATTGAAGTTGTAAAAATTTTCAAAAAATTGTTTCCGGTCGCCGGAGTTTATTGAATTTCCCAGAAAACCTGTTGTTAATTGCTATATTGAAGTTGTGAATGGCATTACAAAAGTTGTTAACGGTTATATTGAAGTTGTAAAAATTTTCAAAATAATTGTTTCCGGTCGCCGGAGTTTGTTGAATTTCCCAGAAAAGCTGTTGTTAATTATACTGAAGTTGTTAATAGCATTACAAAAGTTATTAACCGTTATATTGAAGTTGTAAAAATTTTCAAAAAAAAAATCCGACTGACGGAGCTCCGGTGACCAATTGTCGGCTGGTCGCCGGAGCTCCGGGGACTGCCGCCGCCGGAGGTCCGGTGACCGGCCGAGCAGTAGGGGCTGTGATATTTTAAAAATAATATTTAAAATGAAGGGCAATGTAGTCTTTTCCTTTCACACAATAATCCCAATTTGGTCTCATGGTACCAAAATGGGATTTGTGGAATTGGACGGACGTTTTGGGGATTATGAAGTTAAAGTTGCATTTTTCTGTCTTTTTCCCTAACTCTTTTTTATTTTTATGATTTATACTTGAAAATATAAAAGATGAGTGCCAAAAATAATTTAATAACGTATTAATGGGAGAAATTTGATTCATGAAGAAAGCTACTCCACCCGTTGTTTTTAATAAACAACTTTAGACTCAATCATATAAATTAAAAAGTTAGTTAAAATTGATTAAAGATAATAAATATGTAGAATTAGAAATTTTTTCTCTAAAATACTGTTATTTATGTAAGAGAGTATAAAAAGGAGAATAAGAAAATTATTATAATAAAAATAGTTATGAAAGAAAAATGTGATGAATAAAGATAATAGTTTAGAAAATAAAATAATAAACATATTGAATATTAAGATGAGTAATTAATAGGGGCAAAATAAAAAATTTGGCACAAATTTTTTATGAGCAAGAGTTCTTATATTTAGGAACAAGAGTTGGATGGTAGTTGTTATTTATAAAAAAATAACGAAGGGAGTAATATATCAGAAAGATTTTTTAGTGCCTAATAAATTAGAAGTTTTTCAGCTTCTATAATATGATTGACATATCAAGTAATAATATTAATAAGTTTAGTAACGCAATTAATAATATGCTTTCTAGAAATTGTGAAAATGATATTTTCTTTTAGTTTTAATAACACGATTAACAATTATTGTATGTTATTAACAACTAAAAATACTATTTGCAAATTTAGTAACGCAACTAACAATATATTTTCTAGAAAATTGTGAAAATGAGAAGTATTTTGACTTTAAGATGTTTGACATATTTCTGAGTATTTAATAAATTAGGAATTTTTTAACTTTTATGACATGGTTAACAAACCATATAACGGTATTAATAATTTTGATATTGCAATTAGCAACCCATTTTTTAGGAAATTGTAAGAGTGAGATTTTTTTTTTAGGAAAAATTTTAGTTGAGGACTACTATGGCAAAAAAAGATTTTATTTGCTTCCAAAAGATTCTAAAACTTCACGGTAGTCTCTTGGAGGCTAAATGAAATTAACTTTTAAGTCAAAAGACAAAAATAACCCTGGAAAAAGAAAGAAGAAATAGACTATTGATGAATAAATAAGTAAATGAGCACCAAATCGATACACTTCTCATGAACTCTGTCATGTCTCCATCTCCACAGGTTGATAATAATGCAATGACTAATTATTAGTCTAAAATCATGTCATTCTGACATCTCTTCATTTGAAACTGAGTTTTACAGATAGTCCGTAATCATGTTACTCTACCATTAGGAGTCTCGTCATTGTCATTAAGCTCTACAATTCGTTAGAATTGTATCGTGGTTGAGGTAAAGTCTACTCTTCCCTTTGAGATAGTCTCATCTTCTTTATTTTTAATGTTAAATATAGTCTGTGGAAATCAGCATGAAAGGAATGGGTTATTTTATAGGTTGTATAGTATGGAATGTATTTGGTTTGAAGTCTGAATGAATAGGTGAATGTGATGGATATGGATGATATTAAAGCACATCTGGTTTGAAGCCTAAATGAATACATTTAACATGAAGTACCTAGTCAGCAATCTAGAAAATTTGTGTTGTTAATTGCCATATTTTTATTATTAATAGTTGTATTGTTGTTGTTAACATACGTACTTGCGTTGTGAATTCACATAGAGACTTGGACCTTTTTCATATGCTGTTGTTGTTATTATTATTATTTTTTGTTAATTGTCTAATTTTAATTGTCAATGTGTGAACTTTTATTTGTTAAATTTTATTATAAAAACATGAATAAATGGGTGGTGTTCATTTACCGTGGATAAATGGGTGGTGTTCATTTACCATGGATAAATGAGTGTTGTGTTAATTGATTTACTTTAATTGTTTAGGAGTATATTTGTCTTGTTAATACTTTAAATGTAGGCTTTGATTTATATGGGAAGGAAGAGTGGAGGTGGAAGAAATTGAAGAAGAAATGTTGCATCAAAACTACTCGAACAGATCAAAAAATATAATAGAAACATGATGTGTATAAATTTGTGTCCCAACTCTGCAATCTCATTTCATACATTTGATTTGAAACTGATACGTATGAAAGACGATCTCTAAGAAAATTTTAATGTGAGTTCGCTGATGTATGCTAGTATATATCTATTTGAACATTTACTTTTTTATTACTTAAATTATGGAAATGTGTAATTAAATAACACGTGAGTTTGCTAAGAAATTTTAATGTGAGTTTACTGATAAGAGGAATTTATTCCTAATTGTGAGAAAATTTAACAATCAACACTTGTACTATGCAAATAGAGGTGTTTCTCTTGTTAATCTACATATCTTTGCTGTAAATTGGCATATTTCACTTGTGAATGATATTTCTTAAACTTGTAAATCATCATGTTCAACTTATGATTTAAATTAGTCTTCTTACAAATGAACACGTTTTTTTTGTTAATCTACGTATCCTTATTGCAAATTGGCTTATTCTACTTGTGAATGATATCTCCCAAACTTAGAAATAATTGTATTCAACTTGTGAATTAAATTAGTCTACTTGCAAATGAATATGTTTCTCTTGTGATCTACGTATCTTTGTTACAAATTGGTATATTCCACTTGTGAATGATGTCTCTCAAACTTGTAAATCATCATGTTCAACTTATAAATTAAAGTAGTCCACTTGCAAGTAGATGTGTTTCTCTTGTTAATTTACATTTTTTTTTTTTTTGCAAATTGGCATATAATAGAAAATTAAACTCGGTGGGTAAAATTGAACATGCCAAATAATTGTTTTCTTTTACTACTAGCCATATATAATTGCTGCATATCATTCATATTAACTTCAATCAATTTTTAAAAATTAAACATAATATACATTTACAATTGCTATTTGCGAATTTACAATAAAAATATGAGTTTTCACAACAAAAAATTATCATTTCTATAGACAACTTGAATTTGTGAATTTATAATATGAAATGTGGGTGAAAATTTTGA